ATTTAAGCACTTTTTCTTCATACTTCTTTTGCATATCTTCAATTATCTCTAACCTGCCAAGAACACCTCCTTTCCTTATATCTTGTGGTGGGAATCCTTTGAAACGATCATCTGTTGGTGGGTCTACATCCCCAGTGGTGGCGGCGGTGGCCATCTTTGTTTTTGTACTAGAACCAAAAACTTTTCCACTCAGCTATTTTCCCTCACTTTTACTTGCTTATTGTATTTTATTTGCTTTTGCACTTCCCTGAACCTTTATGTAACCTGGGACACCACTGTAGCCCTCAACCTGTTCCCAATACTTAGGTAATTTGATATTTCCAGGAGCTTGTTGCAGTGTGACTCCTGCCTCCTCAAGCTCACAGTCACCTCATTGTCAGGGAGTCACAGTGACTCACAGTCACTCACATTGTGTGTATGTGTATATGTATGTGTAGGTGTATATACATAATATATATGTATATGTGTGTGTATACTTTTTCTTTCGGAAGGGGGTCTGTTCCCTTCTCTGTTGACGGGACGCTGGGGGAGCAGCTTGCTCTGCTAACTCTCGCATGGTCCCGCAGTTAGTGGGCGCTTTTGGTTGTCTTCCGGCCTCTGGTGGCAGCGGTGGATGGTTTCTTCCCCTTTGGGGGGGGTTCAGGGCTGGCGGGGTGGGCTTCTTCCCCTGCGCTTCGTCGTGTCATCTTCGTGGGTGCATTGGACGTGGTCGATCCGCCCCATCCTTTTGGGGTTTCCGTCTGCTCTATGCAGATATGGGCCTGTCGAATCTGCGGTTCTTCTGGACTTCTTCAGTCTGCGCCCTGGATTCTATTCCCTCATCGGAGGACAGTTGTCTCCTGTCCGGCTTCTGTTGGGGCCGGGTGCCTTGATGGTAGCCCTGGACCTCCAGGTCAAATCTTGGCTTTCCTCTCCAGTTTTCCGGGACTGGCATCGTTGGTGGTGGGGCTTCAGGCTTGCCGCTTTTGTTGCCTTCCCTAGTTTGTAATTGGCACTTGGTGTATTTACGCATTTTTACCGGATCTTGGTGCCCTGTCTGAGTCTGCTTGGGATTCGGTGTCTGGCCTACCTCGACGACTGGCTGGTGTGGGCTCCCAGTCGGTCTGCTTGTGGCTGTTCCATTTGTTTCCGTCCCGGGTTCGGACCTGGCTGGGTCTTGTTTAGGGCTCTTGGGCCACTCATTGTCTTTCCCTCCAGAAGTGTTGCTGCTGCTGTGGTCCCGCCTTTGGCTTTTCATGAGGGGGTCCCGGGTTGCTCGATGGTTGCTCGAGCAGTTGTGCAGGAGTCTGAACTTTGATGTGCTGGTCTGCCCGCAGGGTCGGGTTTGGCTTCGGCATCTGTTTGGTTCCTTCGGAGACTCCCCTTCCGCCTCTCTTGCAATTGTTGGGTTCGTTCCTCCGGGGATCTCGTGTTGGTGCTGCATCACCAACTTCCTCTTTTGGGTTTTCGGGGTTATGTGCCTTGGCACCTCCCCGAGCCTTCGCTCGATGTGTTCACGGATGGGTCATCTCTCAGCTGAGGCTTTGTGACCAGTGCTCACCAGGTCGGCCGGGGATGGTAGGGACTGTCCATCCGTCGGGCTAACAGCACGATTTAGGAGTTCATGGCTGTCTGGTTTGCACTTCGGAGGGTTTGGGTCACTCAGTACTCTACCATTCAGCTCCATTCAGACTGTTCTCTGGTGGTTCTTTGCCGGAACCACAGGGTTTCTCTTAGGTGTTTGGCCTTTGGGGTTGGTATCTTAGAGTGGCTCGTTTGCTGGATTCTCAGGGTTTGGCTAACCGTGAGGTTCATGTCCAAATGTGTCCTGCGTCCTGGCGGACAGCTGTCTCGGTTCATTCCTCTGTTCGCGGATTGGCCAGTCGTCGCCGACTCGTTCCGTTGGCTCCGCCGGACGTATGGACTGCTGGCCACGGACGTCTTCGAGTCGGCGTGGTCTAGGCGTCGCCCATTTTATGTGGCGCCTTTACCCGCCTGCGAGGCATTCACGGTGGATACCTATCGGCAGGACTGGTCGAGGTGGGGGTACTTGTTCCTCTTCTCCTGGTCCAGCTGTTGCTTCGAGTTCTGACTCGGTTGGAGCCCATTCCCACGAGAGTAGTCTTTATGGTCCCTTGGTGGCCGGCCCAGCTTTATTTTCAGACGCTGCTTGATAGGTGTCCAAACCCGGGGTGTTTTCTCACGGCTCCGCCTCTTTCGGCAGGTTGGAACGGTCCTGTACGTGACTGGTTTGGCTTTCTCCTCGGCTCTTCACGTCTGGTATTTTGACGCGAGTATCACCATCACCAAACCCCGCCCCGAAACTCTCAGAGTCGGAAGCAGGGGAAAAAAGAAGCAGGATGAACCACACCCACCTGGGAATGAAGCAGGGGCGCAGAAGGAACCAAGGTCGAAGCAACCAACGCCACCAGAATCTGGGACCCTAAAACCCAAGCGGGGCATCTCTGGGGCCTCCAACCTGGCAATCAACCTAGCCTGTTGCAGTAAGGAAAATCGAGAATGTAATGCAGCTGCTGCATGATCCTTAAGATCAACAGACAAGGAATGAGTAAAGCGAAGTACAAGCAGGGAATAAGACCCCACAAGAGGAATGAGTAAAGCGAAGTACAAGCAGGGAATAAGACCCCGCAAGACCCTGGGTTGGTGCCACCACTGACCAGCAAGAGCGGACTTGGAAGAAGTAGCCATTGTACGATCGAGCCCCACAGGGGTTTTCCAGGGCCCGTAGGATGAATGAGCCCCTACAGGAAACCCTGGCACTGGGGCTAGCTAAGCCGGTAGAACCCTGTCAAGTAGCAGGCAATCTGACCACCAGTAGCAGCTATGAAATCTCAGGGAAACAGAGGATGACTACCAACACAGCCTAGGCTTTCTTAATAAGTAGCTAAGCAAACCACCTCTGTTTAAAACAAGGCAAGAACAATAGTAAATGAAAAAAAAAAAAAAAAAAAAAAAAAAAAAAAAAAAAAAACCGAAGACACACAACCAACAAACTGGCAGTCAGAGAGAAACATCAGCTGCTGTGCTTAAGTAAAGTTAGCTGCACCAGCCACAGTGTGCCCCTCCCAGCCAATAACACTCCTTTACCCTGGGCAAGACAGAAAGCCCTAGACCCTCGACGTACCCCAAGGCAAAGGTATCATCAAGTGATGAAGACCCCCAAACACGGAGTGATTCCCTAACGCCCCAGGGAAGATATTCCTGACAGGCAAAAGCAGTACTCACGGAGCACCTAGTGAAGGTCACCCTAGGTGCATGTTGCTCCTGTACACTAAGACACATGGCCTCCACACCAACACACAGTTCGAACAGCCACACAGGACAAAAATCCAGAACAGATACTTGAGGCTAAAGGTGACTGAAGTGACCACTAATACAACAGTTCAAGAACTATAGTGGTGGGCTGCTGGCTGAGCTGGCTCCCCCTCCCCCACCCCCTATGGGGGGAAAGGGTAGCACTAACAAGCAAAAGTACTAGTCGCATGAAGGTTTCCTTGTTGTTTTTTTTTCTAGGGGAGTTATTTTGATTTTTTGGGATGTAGATTGCACAGGTTTACCAGACAGTGGTCTGTTTTGATTTGCCTACCTTTCTGGGTCCTTCCTCGGTCGATGGCAATTATGATATACTTTAAATATAAAGTGCTCATAGACCATTGCTCCCTGCGTCTCTCTGAGGGGACCAGGTTCAGGCTCATGGTTCCTGGTTGGCATAAGGACTCCTATGACTGATGACCCCAAACTAATATAACCCATATCAGTTCAGATAGCTTCAGGGAGCCAATGGGGCTACCCACAAAAAACAGGGATAATAATACTACATAAAATAAAAATAAAATTATTAACCACCATTATCCAGTGAAGCAATTCTGTATCATGAAAACTTTTCTCTAATGAACTCTAAATTTGTTTTATATCAAGGCAGGGGTAAATTTGCAGATATATACACAAGCACATTTATATCTTTACTTTGTCCCAGCATGTGTGAAAAGTATGCCCGATATAGAAGTCTGTGCATTTGTGGTACAGTATTTGTCTAAATCACTAATTATTAATGTGTATTCAATCACAGTGTACAACAAACATATTGGCTATGTTTATTCACTAAACTTTCCCAGTAATTGAGAAGGAATGGTAAAAACTGATAAATATTTAAAAGTAATTGTTACTGTTAATTAATGTAACACATTCAATGCTGAATTTAGGTAGTGACAGAATTTGCATTTCACTTCAAGCATCAAGTTCACCAGAGCTTAATGCTGGGTAACAAAGATTAAAGTAAAATATATAATGTATATAAAGTTAATTATTCTTATTTTAAAATTATAAATGCTTCGCCTCAAAATGACATGCAACATCACTGATTTTAGCCGAGTTATTAAACCATGTGAATACTCTTATTGTAAATAAATGTTTACTTGTATCTTTTCTTTTGAAAATAGTAAAACAGAAAAGTACTGAAAAATATCACACACCAATTAACACCTTTTATCTCAAGAAATCATAATAAGCATTAACTATCATCTTTTCAGAAATTTTATTAATTTTGTTTGCAGTTATAAAATATAAACCAAATGATTCATGAAAATGACCATTTACAATCCTAACTACAGAATGGCGGGCTGGCTGCTGCGCCCACCTTACTGGGTTAATACGAATTGGGGAGTAAAATTCAATAATAAAGCACTATTGTATAATGCTCTTTATGAAAATTAAATCAAGTTTGATTCATAATTTACAGTACATAATGATATCTTTATGTTAGCTTTTGAGCTAGTCATACACTTTCCCTTACACTATTTGAAAAATATTTAAATACATTTGTGTTCTGTTCTTGATCAGTAACATATGTTAAAATTATAGCTTTTTAACACAGAAGATATATGCAACCAGTAGGAGGGCGACAGCAGTGAGGAAGGTGGCGTCACATGGGATTGGAAAGCGCTATACTGTACTAGCACCACTATAGACTATGGGCAACACGACTGTGGGTGCCTGGGGACCTTGTGGGACTCTCTGGGGACAGCATGGCTGCAGCACGTAGGATCCTCTCGTGGTCTTCTGGGGAAGCCAACTGCAGCAGCTCTGCCAATTTGTCTCCGGGGGTCCCAGGGGAGCCTGATGGCCCCGCCAGAGGACCACTGAAATCCCCGTGACCAAACTCCTGCCCTCTGCGCCACGGCCTCACATACCTGCATGGTGGCACTTGAACACCAGGGGACCTCGTACATGGCCACATGGGCACCACAACATCCAAACACAGCACACAGTGCAAGGTAGCAGAGAAGGGTGACTCCAAAGAAACTCCATTTGTGAAGTGCATCTAAGTGTAAGGCACAAGATTTTGTCTGACTAGTCTACTAATAAAACCTTGAACAGTATTTGATATATGATCATAATGTAATCTTTAATTTCTCAAAATTCTTGAGTATATTACAATTAGACCTTACAGACTAGAATTACTGAAACTATAGCTCTACATGATACTGAGCAACGTGCCAATTCCGCTGCTGCAACTAAGAAAAATGAAGCTACTTTCTCAAAAATGCTATAAAACATAACATTGACAAAATAAATTAAAAAGATATTAGTAACTAACAGGGCCAGGGTTATGCCCAGGACATACCTTGTAAATACTACGAAACACCTAAGTTCTGACTCTGTAGCTAAAGAAAAGCAGAAAGCAAATTGTTAGTCATAAGATTAATGGTCATATCATCATGGCCACAGTAATTACATAGAAGTCTCCATTTCTGTGTCGTGTATGAAATATTTTGGATTCCCGTTTGTTTAACATTCAAAAGCATGGCTCATTGTTAAGATAAATTTAATTAAGCATGTTTTTGTTAAACATGTTAATTAAACATTTAATTAAACTTTTAGTGGTAATTGTTCTGTTCTAATGCTATGAAAGATTCTTCTTCACTTGACTTGAGGATTAGTTTAAATAACATGCAAAATATTAGTGCTATTCATAGGGGCTATTTTCAGTGACAAAAATAATTGACAATTAACTTAATGAAAACAAATTAATAACTGCCCAATTATGCTTATAAACTAAAGTGTTCATTTTTTTTTTTTTTTTTTTTTTTTTTTTGCTTTGGAGTCAACCCTTCTGTACTAAACCTCATGATAACCTAAACAAAAAATTACACATACTGAATCTAAAGACAGCAGAGGCAACATAAGAAAAAGTCTCAAGTTAAATATGATGATGAATTCTGAAAATTATTTATAAAATCATGTTATTGTGGCAAGAGGTGTAGTATGTATTTTTGTGTTATTGCTTAGTACCGCTGAATAAGACTTCAAACTCATTACACAGATGATACAAATTTAAAAAAAATTGTAAGGTATAAAGTTTTACTAGAGATATGTCTTGATAATGTTTCACGATACTATTTAGCATAATGGTGAAATTTGACATAATAAAAATAATTATTTTTTCTTCATTCCAAATGTGTTAGCAGTGCTATAATTAATAAAAAAACAGCATTGAATGTAATGAAAAGAAATTTTCAGGGTGAGACCCGGAGGCTTCCTGGAGCTATACTGAGTTGATGTGTACATACTAGACCTTGGAAACAGTCAATCGATGGAGTTCTAAGCCTACGGGGACCAGCGCCAGAACCTCGCCCCCCCCCCCCCTCAGAAAACCTCGAGGAGCAATGGCATATAGACACCCCCCGTGTTGTTAGAAGCAGTCTATATCTGCCATCTACCAGGTCAGGCACCCCAGAAAGGTAGGACTCTCAAAACAAACTCCAGCTGGTTAAAGATCACAAACCAAAAGTGAACAAGCAAACAGAACTCCTATCAGAAAACAAGGAAACAAGCATGACATCACCACAGCCTTCACGCTGATGTCTGTGCAACTCCCCCTTACCTGGGCTGTGCAACTCCCCCCTACCTGGGAGGGGAAAGGGGGGGGGGGGTCCCAAACCTCTGGTGCTAGCTACCCAACTCCAGTTCAAAGGCTGAATATATAAAACGTGAAAGAAATGCCGACCGGAGGAAGGGATGCCTGGGAACCTCCGGGTCTCACCTAGAAAATGGCGTTTCATTACATTCAACGCTGGTTTTCTGTGGAGAGCCCCTTCAGCTCCCCAAAGCTACTTAACCAAAGATAATGGAAAAGAGGGACTTACCCAGGAGGTGGCCGCAACTTGCTCCTCAACTCAAAGTCACGACAATTGGCTGCAACATGCAACCCAACGCTACACAAGCCTGAGAAGGGCCAGGAAAATTAACTAGGTACTGTGCGGCCAGGAGCCTGTTTGACCTCCAAAAGATCCATGCCCGAATGTTAGCCCAGGACACGTTACCAAAAACAGAAGCCAAAGCCGCGAGCTTACGAATGTCGTGAGGCACGGGGGTAAGACAGCAGGCTGGCTGGACTGAGTAATCCTGCAGATGACCTGGGAGACCTGCGCCCTGGAACAGGAAAGAAGGGAATCTGGGTCAACCTAAAGTGCGTCCCCTGCCACGGAGGCCGTGGCACGCGAGTAACAGTGAAGAGCCACAACCAGACACAAAACATGATGCACCTCCGGCTGAACCAACCAAGTATCAACAACACAAGGACCCTTCTGGAAAGCAGCAGTTTCATTCTTCTCCAGAAAAGAAGGAGACAGCTGCAAATGAACAAAACGACCACCAGGACTGAAAGAGCAGAAACCCTTGTGCCGGAGGAGAGCATGAAGCTCCCCAACCTCACCCCCTGAGACCAATGCCAACAAAAAAAGAACCTCAGAAAAACAGTCCTGAACTGAAGGGGCCACCACAAACCGAGGAGAAGAAAGAAAAGAGAGCACCCGATCCAACGACCAAGACGGCTCAGGCGGCACATGAACAGGCCGGAGGTGAAACAACGCCCGACAGAGCTTGCAGAACGGAGCAGAAGTGATGTCCACCCTAAATGCAAGCTGAAGCGGCTCTGCCAGCACTGCATGATACGAGGCGACAGTATTTGGCATAAGATGACGGTTCTGAAACAACCAAGAGAGAAAGGACAAAACAATATAATCAGAAATCGAAGACAACCTACGAAGACACAAAGTGCCAAAAGGACCACCAGGAAACTTCATACTGCCGCCAAAGCAAAACTCCTCTGGCGGGACACCATCAACGAAGTCACCTGATCACCATACAAGTGGTGATTAACCCACATCAAAAAGACCAGGCGCAAAGACCAGGAGAAGAAGATCGAATCAGCCATGTACAAAACTGGACCAATCTGCTGAAAGTGGAGAAGCAACGGGAAGACCCTCAGATTCGGATATTGAGCAAGAAGCGCCTGAAACCTGGGCTGGGTCGGCCACCAAGGGGCGAACAGGACTACTCTTCCCTGGTAAGTCTTCAAGCCAGCCAGGATTTGGAGAAACAACCAAACCGGTGGGAAGAGGTATAGGTAACCCCATCTCAACCAGTCCAGCTGAAAGGCATCGACCCCATATATACCATAAGGGGTGCCACATATACCAGGAGACGCCTCGACCACGCCAACGTGAAATGGTCCACCTCCAGCCACCCGTACATCTAACAGAGCCCACTGAACGAGTCAGTGTTGACCGTCCATTCTGTGGAAGGGGCGAATGAACTGGGACAGGCTGTCCGCCAGGTCGTTAAACACCCCCTGAACATGAACCGCCAAGAGAACCAAACACCAAGAACTCAGCAGATGAGCCGCCCAGAGGAATCAGCCCCAAAAAAGCCAAGAATCGCATCAAACCCCCACGGTTCAGGCAATGAACCACTGGAAAGCAGTCCAAATGGAGCCAAACTGTCAATTCATGAGCGACCTGAACCCTCCGAAGCAAATACCACACTGCCACGAGCTCCCGCACCGTACTGTGAGCCCGAAGGAAGGACGGACCCCACTACCCCTGGCTTGACTGGTGACCACTGGTTACAAAACCCCAGCCCAGAGACAATGCATCCATGAACACATCGTACGCGGACTCAGATAGGCGTCACAGTACTGAACTCAAAAAAACCTGAAGAGGAAGTCGGCAATGCAGCAGCCGATGCAAGGCCCCCTGGGTCCGAACCCAGCGATCGCAAGAGCGGTGGAAGGGACATCCCCGAAGGATCCTTAACAGCCGCCGAGGCCAGATCCGACCCGACTGGTAGACCAGCACTACGAAGTTTAGACTCCAACACAACTGCTCAAACAACCGATGAGTGACCCGGGTGCCCTCCAAAACAGCTGAAGGCGGGATCACAGCCGCAGCAATTTCGACGGAGGGAGAGACAAGGAAACAGTCCGAGAGTCCCACTCAAGACTCAGCCAAGTCCGAACCTGAGAGGGAACCAAATGGGACTTCCTCCAGTTCACCAAGAACTTGAACCCAGCGAACTGGGAAAAGAATCAATTCCCTGGCGAGCAGACACGCGGACCGGTTGGAAGCCCAGACCAGCCAGTCGTAGAGGTAAGCCAGAACCCGAACCCCTAACAGAAGCAAACAGGTCACCATGACCCAGTAAGGTGTGTGAACACATAAGATGTCAGAGTCAAGCCAAATGGAAGGCAACAAAAGTGGTAAGCCTGATGCCCCATGACAAAACTAGCCAGTCCCTGAACCCCAGATGAATTGGGATGTGCCAATACACATCCCAGAGGTCGAGGGACACCATCCAAGTGCCTGGCACCAAAAGCAGCCAGATCTGGGACAGAGTAGACATCCGAAAGGAGGGGCAATAGACCCAGTGGGTCAACCAACAAGTCCGATATAGGCTGACAACAAAACAAAGCCGCATGCAGAAAATGCACCACCGCATGTTCTGTAAACAGCAATGGACAAAAAAGGGGTAAAAAATCTAAGAGCCAGGACCCAAACAGATTCCAAAGAGTGGACGAGCACCACCTGTCGGCACACGAGCCGGAAAGGAAAGAACAGAAACACCGCTTCCTTCAGAGTCAGCACATACAACTTCAACAAGGTTGCTGATGCCCGAGCTGCCGAGGCAAGCACACCTGACACCGCCCTGAACCCAGCTCCTCCACATCCTCCTCGAGCCAGTCTGAAGACAGCTCCAGAAGGGAAAAGAAGCACAAGACCGAAGCCAAATGCCCATGGGCGCACAAATCCTTGGCCACCAGTGACACCGAAAGGAAGGGAACCTACACATGAAGCTACACCTGGCCGAATTCACGAGGAAGCACAGGGGTGAACAAGCACGCATTTAGGTA